AATTCTTCCCTCTTCATTTCTTATAGTGGTTGAATTCAAACTTGATGGAACAATAGAAAGATACAAAGCTCATCTTTTTCCAAAGTCACCCAAACATATGACATTGATTTCCATGAAACTTTTGCAACGGTTGCAAAGATCAATACGAGACTTGTTATCCTTAGCTGCCAATTGTGACTAACTGTTATAACAACTAGTTGTGAAGAATGACTTCTTACATGGAGAGCTAGAGGAAGAAGTATTCATAGATTCTCCACCAGGATTTGAAGCAAAATTTGAGGGAATGGTGTGCAAACTGAAGAATTCACTTTACGAGTTGAAACAACCGATAAGAACATGGTTTGAAAGATTTACAAAATTTGTTCGTTCACACAATGTTCTACAGGCATGCTAAAGGGATGATTTCAGTTGTAGCCATTTTGAGTTTCCTGATTTTATGTCTGTCTTCCCCACCCCACCACCACTCATTTTTTAATTGTATAGCTGTAAAATAGGATAGAGTAGTTGTCTTTTTTCTTAAAGTACTGCATAACTTTTCTGGTTCAATATAAGAAATATTTCCCCAAAATCAAAAGTTGTCTTGAGAGGAAAGGTATCTTTCTCCATGTCCTCCATTTAGGAGGTGAGATTTATGTCAACCTCCAGCTCATACTTCTTCTATGAAGTACTTATGTATCAGTATGGTTCAATGCATAACCCTCAACCACCTAAATGTTCTTTCCTTGTTTAGATAATTAGGACTATATCTGCATCAGATCTTTTCTTCGTTAGATAAATAGGACTATATCTGCACTAGATCTTATTTTATATAACATGGAAGGCTGGCTGACACTTCTATAAGTTAATGAAAGAACGTATCCTCGACCAACAAAAGTGATCTTTCCTTATTGTCATAAAGGGGGAACTTGTTATTTGAACAAGGGGCAACATCTTCACCAGAATATTGGAATTATTTAATCAGACAAATATATCATCAATGAAGGATTTCAACCTCCTTTACACTACAAGATAGTAGACTACATGCCTTTACATGCATAAAAAATGTTGCTAACATGCTAGCCACCATATGGATATATGACCGCTTAAAAATAAATGTTAATTCCTCGCCTGTTTCAAAGCACGGGTCATTGCCAAAATAGCACCTCTGCCATCACTATGGGGTTGAGTTATGTGATATGCATCACCTGATTAAAATAATACTATCTAGTGTTAAATAAAACCAGAAAATAGATCAAAGATGAAAAAAGACTTAACTGTAGAAGTAACCTGACATCCCATAACCGCGGACCTCTGCATAAAGTTTAGCTCCTCGCTTCTTTGCATGCTCCAGTTCCTTAAAAGATTAAAATAATAATGCATGCAATAAAAGGTTACTCAGATAGAAGAAGAACATACAACTTAACAAAGCATAGCACATTATCAAGGCTTGTGATAATCCAATAATTCTTTATAGTTCATTGCACCATTTAATTACTAATCTTAGATTTCTCATAATGACGTCGATACACCAATTAAAGCAACCAGAGTTGGTACATCAACGTTACTCTTGAGCCAAACTGGTTAGCACTTCGTAACCCTTTTAATTATGGAAAACCAACTTCATTCTGTTTTAATGGTAAAATAGACATGCATTTTAATGTACTTATAACAGCACTCACCTCCAAAACCAGGATACCAGAACCTTCACCTATCCTGTATTTCAATAATCTATCCGATTTATGAGTTGAAAGGAATTGAGATTCAAGAGCTATTTGGTACACTGGAGAAAACTTCTCAATGTCACAAACGTTACTTACACAAATCCATCACGGCCACAATCAAAAGGTCTCGAGGCTTCTCGAGGAGCAGCATTATGCTTGGTCGTCAATGCCCTTGACCTGTATAAATTAGGCAGCATTAACATACTTGAAACAACACTTTTCATTCGATAAAATACTTCTGTGTTCATAATTATATACAACTGAGTTATACCTCCATAATTTCAATATCAATATCCTGCACTTTATTTTTTTGCAAAAAAGGTGACAACCTCAGTATACTCCAACTACTGATAAGTATTACTTTGTCCAATTGGCAAAGTTGGCTTTGTTTTTCTTGGAAATGTTTTTAAGTAGAAGATCAGGTGAAGCTTGCGAAGAATGGACACAGATAAGCGACATAGACAAAACACAGACACACCAATACTTGCTTTTCCAAAAAAGTAGAAGGACGTGGACATATAGGAACATGATCAAAATTCTATAAAACTACATTATCTTTTTGTCTTTTATATTTCATTTCTTTTAGTGTTTTGAGAGAAGATTCACAACTAGTTTCCCAAATTCTAAGATTTCTCTTCCCTGCCTCAACTGTAGAAGATTCAAGTTAGTTTTCCCTCATTCCACTATGGTCTTTTCCACTTTTCCAAAGATAAGGTGCATTCTGAAAAGTTTGACTTATTTTATTTCCAATCCGGAGTTGGCTATGAGTTCCAAGGATGCATAAATCCAAATTTCAAAGGTTCAACACATATAGTAAATGGAACGTGATTATATGTTCAACTTAAAGTCCATTAGCATACAGTCTTTCAAACTTCCATGATGTGAACAAAGTAAAAACAACATCTAGACCATTTTGAATTCTTCGGAAATTCCTATTTAAAATATTCTAAGAAATTGACCTATCAACCATCTACTTTTTAAGCATTGGCAAAGAGCAAACTTTGACTCAGCTGAGAATGCCGTAGCAACTGCTTCATAGAATAAGACTGCATCTTTCATGTCTCCTTTCTGGTGTAGAGGTGGATTACTTGGTGATTATGAGATTCACAAGGACGAACAGTCATGCCAAAAATTTAAAAACATTACCTACAGAATCCTGCTATAGACAAAGCATCAATGCTTGCCTCTGTTCCTCCGGCAACCATGACATCCACATCTCCAAATTGAATCATCCTAGCAGCATCACCAATGGAATGTGCCCCAGTAGCACAAGCAGTAACTGTAGCATGGTTTGGTCCCTAGATTCAAAATCAAGACTGGAATATGCAACTATATCTTATATATAATAGAAAATGATTACATATATGTGAGGCAAGTCGCCATGTTTTCTCTCCTGTGTTCTTTCTAATCTATTTATTTATATACTGATGAGAAATATTGTGGCATGGCATATACATGGACATCCCATTATGCATTATTTCAAATTATTCTTAAATATATTCAGGCCACCTTGGTTTTATAGATAAGAAGCAGAAGAAAATATAAATTACCAATAACATGCTATAATCTTTAGGGTCACATGAGAGATACCTAATTATGCATCTTTTTAAGCTTTCATGTCTTTTCAAATGACTTAAAGACATTAAAATGCAAACCTGGAATCCGTACTTCATGCTAACATGGCCAGAAGCCATGTTAATCAGTATCCTAGGAACAAAAAATGGACTGAGCCGGCGTATGTGCTGCAATCAGAAAAGAAAAAAGAAATGTTTTCACCAATATTTTTTTTTCTTGTTTAGAAGGGTATTATGTAGATATAGAAAGTAAATAGTACAAAAAATAGGCAAAATGCCATCTTAATTCACTGAGGATATATGTTGCTTCTGAACCTTTGCAAACCCTTTAAAAAACTCTGGTGGAAACTACTACCAGAAATTGCCAAGAAATAGGAGAATTCATGGAAAATATGAATTAGAAAAAAAAAAGACACGCAAACCTTCTCACAGATCATTCTCGAAGCATCCAATACATCACTGATGCTACCAGTCCCTGCACCTATGGAAACTCCCTGATGATCTTGAAGTTAGAAATGAAATCATTAACAACACCCAAAATGAAATCACCCCTTTGTTATCAGTATAAAATGAACAAATACCGTTTGTTCCTTCTCATCCTGATTGGTGGGCATCCAATTTGCATCTCTAAGAGCCTCGTCAGCAGCACATAATGCATAGCCTATAAACCTGGCAATAGATCTATGATCCTGCACAAAATTCAGAAGCTAAGTCTCAAAATCTTTACATGATCATAAGGAGTGTCGCTGGAAAAGGCACTAAAGAAACAAATAAATCCACCTGCAGCCTTCCAACTTCTACCAGGAAGTGGTCCACCTACCACTATGTACGATCAAACAAATCACATGCAGGGTTGTAAATATATCCTTGTTTTTATTCTTATTCTTGTTTTGGTCATCAAAAGATTTGACTATGTCATAAAACATATGGCTGCACTTGGCATGCTACAGCAAAGTAAACCGGCCTCATTTAAGAGCATATTTATTTAAATAATAATTTAATTTTGATGGAACAAGCTAAAACTTATTCAAGTGGTCACGAGTTTATTTGTACTATTAGAAGTGGATTTACCTTAAATTAATAAAAGAGTAGTTGATTTTGTTAGGTTTTATTGCTCTTTCAACTATAATCTTAGTTGCAAGATATGATGATCTGGTATCATATTTTTCCCCATGTACTGAATGAGTTTCAAGGTTTTCTTCTCTTATTCTAGCCATTCCCACAGTTTCCTTTTGTGAAATCTAAAATTCAATGTCATTAAGATTGTCCAGAAATGATATCAACTTTTTATGCTCCCATGGGAAGAAATTTTAAAATCGACCGTTCTTCTTAGACCATGAACATTCTGTTCAAAATCAAATTTATATTTTTTAGGTCCTCATCATCTGATAAACATCAATTTTTATTTTTATTAACTACAAATGAAGCTTGACTCAGAATAGCATTAACCAAGTGGCCCATTTTAAACTGAGAGCAATAATTAATTACTATTATTACCTTAGAGTTAAGCCACAGCTCCTCGTTAAATTCATGTGAGTTGGTTCCGTAGGGCACAATTGCGGCGACTTTGGATGTTAATTGATCAAACGTATGCAATGGCGTCTCCCTATCAAACCCATTCATCTTGAGATCCTCAACAGTTATTGCCCTTATTCCACATTCCCCTTCTAATAGGCGCTTCCACGTAGTTTCTACACCACAACCCAACGGTGTAACCATCCCTAAACCTGAGATAACATCACAACCAACACAAAACATTACTTGGTCTTGTGTTATAAAGCAAAAGTAATTACGACAAGAAGATTGTGAATTGTTGATTGATAATACAACTATATATGCACACATGTAGATACATTTGTATGTGCATGTAGTATGCTTTTACAAATGTATTTCTGTTATAAAACAAGGCGATACCAATTTGCTTTGATACCGCTTGTTGGATTCAATAAACGAGACTAATATTGCAATATGAAAATAATAATCAAGAACACCAAAATTTACGTGGAAAAACACCACGGATAGAGGAGGAGAATTCAATATAAGATGACAGAAAACAAAATGTTGTGTTTCTAACTTCTATATAATTACAATGAAAAGCCAAAAATATATAGAGTACATGTCAAACCCTAAAAATTGTGTTAGATGGAAAGAATATCATAAAATTTATCAAATCGTGAAACAGGCCATGGGCAGGATAACACTGATGCTTGAGCGCCCAAGCTAGCGGTAGGCGAGCAGCAAGCTCCCTATTCTGCGCGCTCGAGCAGGAGATAAGCACTCAAGGAACCAAAATGCGACAACTTCTTCTTCTTGGTCCATCTTTAGACTTCTTCAAGACCTCTCCATCCAAAGCATCAACTACCAGCGGAATTTGGGTCACAATTCAACAAATCTCCACTTTGACATAAATTCCACAGCAATGAACGAAACTTCAAAAATTCTCCACTAAGAGACAAATTTCACTGTAAGGAATAGAACTTAACTCAACAAAATTCTCGAACAAAAAAATCTCCACCCCTTCAAAAAAACCCAACTAGGATAAACTTAATAACTGAATCCAAGCACTTTATAGCAAGATTACCTTGGGTGCTAAAGTTGCTCGAACTATCATCACGAGCAACAAAATCACAAATAACTAAACAATAATTACCAAATAGGACAGAAACATACCCTGTAACAAAATCGACACAACTAACTACTTCAGTAGAAGGCTCTTCCCTATACTTAATACCTTCACCACATTTAAAGCATAAGTAACTAAATCTACTTTCTCGTACCTTTGTGGAGGCCTAATATCTCTTTTGGGTCTGTTTCTAACAATTGAATACTGTAGCACCACTGATGATGATGACAAAAGCAACATTACCCATTACTTCTAAACTCGACTAAGATGTATTCTTTAATGTAGACCGTAAACCAAACTCCAACAGTACTGTACCAAACTCAAACTCCACCTGAGTGCCTAACTTCTACTGATTGATATCCAAAGATCATGTAGAACCGTACAAGACATATAATTGGGACCTTCTTTATCATTTTATCACAACACGGGCACCTTTTCTAACTTTTAGGACTCCACATTCACCGGTGTACTTGTACTCTTTTAAATCAAGAGTATAATTGGGACCTTCTTTATCCATGAACAAGGCATTCTCCATGAATATTAGAACCAACAAGATGCTTTATCTTCTCTTTTGAAAACAAGGCATCATATACTTCTTCAATGGTAAAAGCGTCGCAACTATATAAGATCGTTTCTCTAAAAGACATATAAAGCGGGTAACGAACACAAAAAAATTAACCCTAAATCTTCTTCATCATACTTGAATTAGCGACAATTTCCTTAAAAAATCTAGGCAATCTTCAAGTGATGTACCTTCGTCATACTATGAGAATATAGTCGCTGCTTCTAATGCAATTTGCTGGTTTAATTTTTCGCCAAGCAGCGGTTCTCCTTTAAAACGTTCGAAAGATGAAGATAAATATGTGATAAGGCCTTTCGATTCTTACGTTGTTTCTCCTTCAACGTCCATTTTGAGGGCATCTTGTAAAATCCCAATAAAGCATCATCCAGATCCACCTAAGCGAGCACTACTCGCACCTTTATCTGTCATAATGAAAATATTGTGCTACGATCTAAAAGCAAAATATCATACTTCCATGGTTGCCATCAAAAAATCAAACTTCGAATTAAGTTGATCGAACTTCGATCTGATACCAATTTGCTTTGATACCGCTTATTATTAGATTCAATAAACGAGAATAATATGGCAAGATGAAAATAACAATCAAGAACACCAAGATGCACGTGAAAAAAACCACGGACAAGGAGGAAAATTCAATATAAGATGAAAGAATACAAAATGTTGTGTATCTAACTTCTATCCTATTACAATGAAGAGCAAACTATATATAGAATACATGTCAAACCCTAAAAATAGTATTTTAGATGGAAAGAGTATCATAACTATATATAGAATACATATCGGCCGGTTAACACCAATGCTCGAGCAGCAAAACTTGCTCGCGGTGAGTGGTGCGCGGCACTCAAGTGACCCAAGCTCGCAGTAGGCGAGTGGCAAGTTCTCTATTATCAATGCTCAAGCGGGAGATGAGCACTTAACGAGCCAAAATGTGGCGACTTCTTCTTAGTCCATCTTTAGACTTCTTCAAGGCCTCTTCATCCAAAACGTCGATTCGTAATGGAATTTGGATCACAATTCAACAATTTTTCTATGAATGTATGAAAAGATCACGCATATATGTGTGTTTGTATTGGGTGTGCACATGGAATCTTATATTCTACTAATAAGAATAGACGAGGTCTACATTTTTCAATTTGTTGTAATTGGAAAATTTTAGTTTCCATTCAAAGCATGACAATAAGTCATTTCAATCTCACCTTTATATTCATCCAGGACAAAATGGCAAAATATATTTCCACTCATAGGTAACTAAGAGTCTTCCACATTATCCTCAACTAAATGGATATGAATACTACTTCTGGGCAAATTGTTTGCAAAATTGGGATATCCATAAATACTCATATTTTTTGGATTACATATTACTTGAATTTCTTTGGTTTTGACCATGTTAAATCATTATTAACTACTGATTAGTGCATTTTTATATACTTCTTTCACAGTCAAAACATGAAAAATTGTTGGTTAATATGTTGGAATATGACTTAATTATATGCAATTTATGGCTTGCAGGACAACATGATGAATGTAGCAGAATTGGGAAAAAATAAGGAAAATGGACCAAAATGAAAGAAAATGAAATTTTGAGGACCAAATTGCAAATACTCAATAGTTGATTCAGACCACAAGAAAATACTTTGAAGATTGAAAATTGCAAATACTCAATAGTTGATTTTGATAATACTTTATAGTGGAACGTAGCAAATTTCCAGCTTAAGCTCAACCAAATTCTTAAGGCCAGCACATGGCACAAACTTCAGGATCAGAAGAAAACAACCTTAGGGAAGTGAATGCCGTAACCACTAGATCATGGAAAATCATAGAACCAATCCCCAAACATAGAGAACCTGAAAAGGAGTCTAGTGAGTCTAAGAAGAGCGGCCCTAGCGAGGAAGTGGTGGAAAACCACGTTAGAGTACCTTTCCCTCAAGCTCTTAAGCCTACACCGAAATCAACATAGTGAAATCTTAGAACACCTCAGGCAAGTGAAAATCAATCTACCTCTCTTGCATGTGATTTCTCAGGTTCCTGCATATGCTAAAGTCCTTAAGAACTTGTACACTGTGAAGAGAAAGCACCATGTCAAGAAAACTGCTTTCTTGATTGAGCAAGTGAGTGCGGTGATTGAGCAAAGGATCCTACTGAAGTATAAGGACCCTGGTTGTCCTACTGTGTCCTGTGTCATTGGGAACCATGAGTTTGCACAAACTCTTCTTGATTTAGGGGCGAGTGTGAATGTCAGGTCTTATGCAATTTATTTGTTAGGTTTAGGTGAGATAAAACTGACTTTTGTGGTCTTACAATTAGCTAATAGGTCCACCATTAGGCCTAGGGGGTAATCGAGGATGTATTGGTACAAATTGACAAATTTTACTATCCTGTTGACTTCTTTGTTTTGGATGTGAAGATTGATGTAAATGTTAGTTCAAAAATCTCTATCATTCTTGGTAGACCTTTTCTTACTATAGCTAATGCTCTTATAAACCGCAGGAATGGTTTAATGAAACTTTTTTTTGGAAACACGACTTTAGAAGTCAATATTTTCCACGTAGCAAGGCAGCCACAGGAGGATGATGAGTGTCATCAAACATTCATTATCAATGCACTCACTCAAGAGCAAATACCTGCAAACACTGATTTCGACCCTCTAAATTCTTTTCTTTTAAATTTCGAAATCCCAGGTAGTTAGTTTTGATGATGAGGAGTATTGTGCTGTGTTTGCAAAATTTCAGGATTATGGAGTATCACCATGGCAGCCCAAGTTTGAAGAGTTGCCAGAAAGGACTGGAGGAAGAAGCCATCAAGTATTGAGAGTCCCAAACTAGAGTTGAAACAACTGCCTCTAGGACTAAAACACGAATTTTTTGGACCAAGTGATACATTTCCTGTAATTATTTCTTCGGACTTGAATGCATGGCAATGTAAGCAATGTTTGAACATTTTGAATAAGCATTGATCTGCATTAGGCTTGACCATAGCTGACATAAAAGGTATTAGCCCTTTGATTTGCTCACATAGGATTCATCTAGAAGAAGGAACTAATCATATGAGAGACCTACAACGTAGGCTAAACCCCACAATGAAAGATGTGAAAATGAGGTGCTTAAATTGTTAGATGTAGGTATCATTTATCCTATCATGGATAGTAAATAGGTTAGTCCTACACAGATGGTTCCTAAAAAGTCAGGAGTCACGGTAGTGAAAAATGAATTAGGTGAAATGTTCCCACAAAAACAGTGACTGGTTGACGTATGTGCATAGACTATAGGAAACTAAATGCTGCCACCCATAAAGATCATTTTCCTATCCCCTTTCTAAACCAAATCTTGGAGCGTGTAGCTGACCATCCTTTTTACTATTTTCTTGATGGCTACTCTGGTTACTATCAAATTGAAATTGCATTAAAGGACCAGGAAATGATCACATTTACTTGCCCTTTTGGCATTTATGCCTTCATTTGGACTTTGTAATGCTCCTGCCACATTCCAAAGATGCATGACTAGTATATTTAGTAACATGGCAGA